TTATTGGTCTCGGGCTCATTGTTAATAGGTAAGTCGGGAGATGGTTTAACTTCTTCATTGCTAGATGAGGTATAGCCTCGAATTTCCGATTCCTCAATAATTTCTGGAGGTTCGGGTTTATCGTCTACAGGTTCTACACATTCGATCTCTGGAGTCATGGGTATATCAGCAGACTTAGATGACGAAGCAACTGAACTTTCATTTGTTATAGAATCGAAGAGATCCTGGGTCAAGTTAGTAATGGGTGGAGCAGGTGATACATTCTTACCTTTTTTGATGTGATCGGTGGTTAATGGAATGGGATCTATTTTTTCTGGTTCGGGAGTTATGATTTTTGGAACATCAAATATAGGAATATTTGTGGATTCATTGGAGGATGTCTCGGTTTGAGGTGTGTCGGAAAATTCCTCGATATCACCTACCGATTCACGTAACTTAGCTACGATTTTGGATCGATCAAGAATATATACCCATTCTCTTTTTCCATTAATCCGTACTTGCTTTTTCTCGATTCCTATCAGTGGAAGAAAACCTCCAAATTTGTTATTACTGATTCGATCTTCACCATCATTCCCACACCAAGTAAGATAATCTTGATATAAATTTCCACAGATTGGTTTTTCGATTTGATTTTTGGGCCATGATTTAATATGTTGTATTATAAAGCGAATAGGGTTTGGGAGTTGTTTCATTATTGTATCTGTTTTCATTTTAGTGATAGGGAAATTTTGTGGACTCCACTTTGACAGATCACGGCTAAGAAGATATGACATAACTACTCCTGGCGCGTCGAAATGATCGAGAATTTTCCCTAGTCGATCAAAATATGGTATATTACCCCTACAACGTGGAGATACGTCAAAACAAACTACGCGGGCATCGCCAGCATCTATTTTGATAGGGGTATCCTGGTTACTTGTAATCATAAACCCACTGAAATCATTTAATCTTAAAGGTTCTAGACCTTTTCGTTCTATAGATACTCTTCCTTCCGTTATAAGAGATTTGAGATGACCATTGAATCTATGCCATTCCCCACTAGACATACTAGTTTCATTCATAACTACAAGTTTTTTGCC